GTCTGAAGGACTGCCCACATTCACTACACTCATACGGTTTTTCTTCAGTGTGAACACTCTGGTGTTCGTTGAGGTGACTCCTTCCTCTAAAGGACTTTCCACATTCACTGCACTCATAAGGTTTTTCTCCAGTGTGAATTCTCTGGTGGTCAGTGAAGGCATGCCTTTGTCTGAAGGACTGCCCACATTCACTACACTCATACGGTTTTTCTTCAGTGTGAACACTCTGGTGTTCATTGAGGTTACTCCTTCCACTAAAGGACTTTCCACATTCACTGCACTCATAAGGTTTTTCACCAGTGTGAATTCTCTGGTGTTCGGTGAAGTTAAACCTTCCTCTAAAGGACTTCCCACATTCCCTGCACTCATAAGGTTTTTCTCCAGTGTGAACTCTCTGGTGTGCAGTGAGGGCATGCCTTTGTCTGAAGGACTTCCCACATTCACCACACTCATACGGTTTTTCATCAGTGTGAACTCTCTGGTGTTCTTTAAGGGTACACCTTTGTTTAAAGGACTTCCCACATTCATTGCATTTATAAGGTTTTTCTCCAGTGTGAACTCTCCGGTGTAGAGTGAGGCTGTACCTATGACTGAAAGTCTTGCCACAATCAGTACACTCATATGGCTTTTCCCCAGTGTGAACTCTCTGGTGCTGATTAAGAACAGAGATATACCTGAATGACTTCCCACAGTCACTACACACATAGGGCTTTTCTCCAATGTGAAGTCTATGGTGTTGATTGAGGTTAGTCTTATATCCAAAGGCCTTCCCACTATCACTACACTCATACGGCTTTTCTCCACTGTGAATTTTCCTATGTCGAATGAGGCTAGAGATTCCTCTAAAAATATTTCCAGATTTCTTCCATGCATAATTCACATCTCCCTTGCAGACGCTATGTTGAACAACTTTCTGGTTTTGGCTGGCAGCATTTTCACATTGACCCCACTTGTTATGACATTTTCCACTGAGAATTTTCTGGGAACTCTCACTGCCACTGTGTGGCTCCTCAGTGTCGACAGGGGCCTTCTGTTGGAGAAGCTCTGAGATGGCGGGCAAGTCTTCCCCACCCTCCCTACTGGATGAAGGCAGCCCTGATAAGTAGAAGCTGCACCTGGTCACAAATGAGGCCCTGTCCACAGCTTCTTTCCAGGGCTTCTCTCCACTGGCTTCCCTCTGTTGCTGGCGAGGGTTTGCACTGAAACAGAAG